CACTAACAACCTGATTGTAAGATGGAAAAGCATCATCGCTGACAATGGAGACTATTTCATTTAGTAAATGGTTTGTTCTGGTATAAAAGTTGTTCGGGTTTTTTTTATCTAAAAAAAGGCGACATTAATTTCTTGACGACTTAATATATACATACAGGATTTATGGGTTTTTTACGTAGTAAAGCCGTATATATATAGATAGCCATATGAAATTTTCAGGATGTCGAGATGCATGCATATATATTTAATGCAAATATAATACCATGTGTCATAATATGATAGCATATGTATACAAATAAGTATTTTTAATATTTCTTATAATTGTTATATTTCCTCCTCCTTCTATCCACTGACCATAGTAAGGTTGGTCAACTCTCCAGATTTCCTTTTATAGTGACATTCTGCACACTATACAAGGTCAAAAACCTGTTCATTAATAATTATGAGTAAATTATATTAATATACCTCCTCCCCTACTCTATTTCTGATGGAATTTGAGTCGTGACACTTCTACGACCCTCTTCCACTGTGATGCCCCGAAATTCTGATGGACCGTCGCTACTGCATACTTTATCTGAAACTAATTATTTTCTAAGTACGATACATAGCTACGAAATATCTGCCAAACTTTCGCGTAGAATCGCCCTTTCCTGCTTGCACGATCTTTGCTACTCCTTATAGTCAGCTTCAACGATGGCTACTTTGTCTGCAATATCTAAAAGATTCTCATTTAGGCTGTGTTGGCTGTAATTCGACATTTAACATTAGCCATCACCGTGATTGCCGATCCGATGCGAGAAACTAAGCTTGGTACTATCTTTTAAACTATGGCTTAAAGATTTTTCTTGTGGGAGACCGCCTAGACATTTGTATAACGTTTTAGACGTTGGAGTAGCGTGGCCGAAATCGATCATGCAGTGGCAAAAAACAACAAAAAACTGTGATCCTGTCAGCAGCATCGTGTCTGAAAGGGCAAGAATCCTTCATATAAACAAATGAAAAGTTACATCAATACAGTTGCAAGAATAAGCTAACAATCGCTGTGGAGTATGTGTCATGCCTGTCATATAAACATTAAATTGCATCCACGGCCTGCACACAGCTATATACGTATACATGTAGTAAATTATGAGGCTCCATATATACTACAGACTACATTAAAACGACTGGGCGTCAACGGTTATACAGCCGCTGTTATTTGCTAGGTAGTCAAAACTTAAAAACTACCCTACACAATTTACAAAGATGTGTTTGATAATATTGCCCAAGTTTTATTACAATATTCAAAGCCATTTTTGCTGTAGGCTGGCAGAACTATATTAAATAATAATATAGAAGAATAAATGGTCGATCATATATATATGAAAAGGGGTATTTTATAAATAAATACCTTATACAATGTTTTTGTTGTCTTATGTACTTGAACATCAACGAAACAAAAACGTCCTAAGCAGAATATGTAGTTGATGTACTTAGATTTAAAGTAAATAAGTGTAAAGACATGAAATGACTATAAATGAAATATATCTCTGTACACAACATTTTTTTATATAAACATGTCTTTGTGGATAACCGCCATCTTTGGCTAAGATTTTGATTTTTTTTCCTGGGGTGTTATAAAATAGTAAGTTTCTAAAATTATGGTATCAATAAGTGTGAAAACCAACTGTCTTGGTTTGTCGCCATTTCACTTTTTTTTTTTCATTCTATAATGGTATTAATTCTTTTGTTACTCTCCCTTAAAGTATTATCAAAGTTTCGGGTCCACTATCACCAATAACGGAAATGGTTTAATAGTTTATTCCCCTAGCGGGTAAACTCGTTAGGAAGCGTAGGAAGCATATTTACACTTTTGGCCTAATTGACGATTTTTAAGCGCCTGTTGGAATTTGTAAGCGACGTAACAGTAAAGAATTAACTTAATATGTTTGCTTGTGTGTTTGTGTGTATTACTGAAGTAATTGTCTTTAAAGCTGATGTTATAAACTTCGTTGTTTTGCACTCGTATAGAACAATGCACGTTAAACATCGTACACTTTTACAGTCGTTATTTAAACCGAAAAGTACCACTTTACAATTAGCCAATAGGAATGTTAGACTTCCCTGTGAGCTAGCCCGCATATACATACGGACTGACTGACACACATTGTTATTTTAATCACATAGATATAAAATTCAAAATACAGCTGACTACTTATACCTATATGTCTGCCTCTGTTTTTCTATCAACTTATGTGTATGGTTGTACATGTGTCTTACGAAAAATAGGTACAAAGGATTTGCTTGTCTCTGTGTTTGTTCGTTTGCCTTAAGAGGAATTCATACTAGAAAACTTATCTTTGTAGCAAATTTCACACATTTCGGTGGCACTTGAAGGGTGTACAAACAGAAACTTGTGAATAAAGTATCTTCAAATTTAATACTTGATATAAAATTTCATAGAACATTATATGCTGTTAAACTACTCTTGTCTGTCCGATAACTGGCTTTGACTATTACTTTTATAGCGCATCCATGGCCCAAAATTAAGGAGCGCAGTTTTGTGGCAACTGGATATGAACCATAAAACTTCGGATTCACAGCTTCACAGCCTGTGCGTGATAATCACTAAAATAATACCCCCTAGTCTCAATAGTAACAACAAATTAATTTCTAGCTTTATGAGTTTTTATCACGGAATTATACCGTTTATTATATTGAAAGTTAGTGAGATCAAATATAATCTCATCTGCGTTTCAGACATGGGAAAGTGATTTCGAATCCTGTAGGTGCTAGTCTAGAGTCAAGATGGTGGTGACATATTTTGGGATAACACCGTTAGAGTACTTCCTAAATTAGCGAGGAAATAAGTTTGACTTTCGGTAAGTATTAGTGTAGTATATTGGTTGTGGCAAAATGTCTTGGGATAACGAAGCTAAAGTACTTTTTGGATTAGTGAAAGCGAGCTCGAATCTTGATACGTGTTGGTCAACAGTCGTTATGGTGGCGACATCTCTTGGTATAGTAATACATACTTGAGCAATTCATACTTCAGAAAGTTGGTGGTTGCTTCAATTGGGATAACACAGTTGTAGACTTCTTAGATTAACAAGAAAATGAGTTTGAAATCACGATAGGTTATGGTAGCAAATTACGAAGGTGGCGCCATCTCTGGGGCATTTTCTGTTTAATGCTTAAAAAACCCTTATATATGGCTTGTGACGGTGTTAATTGTTGATTTTTTTAATGCTGAAGCACTCTTTTAAACATTAAAGATTGAACCGATAATTATATATTCAAAAGATCCTTAAACATTTGTTGTTGTTTTTTTTCAGTGTGATCCAGCAGTAGGAATGAAAAGTTTTTTTGACATGCTCTCCGAGGACCCTCGCAAGGTGGTACTTTTTGGTGACGCCTGTACTTCAGTGACAGATCCTATAGCTAAGGCATCACAGTTCTTCCAACTAGCTCAAGTAAGTTAAGAACTAAGAAGATTAGGCTGCAATTTAAGGAAATTCAGCCGATAAAAAAAGGTTTATAAACCAAAGTATTTCATATTTGCAGAATCTTCGAAATTGTGATAATTATTGTTATGCCTCTGTTAATTAAACATTGTTAATTACTTTGAATCGTCTTTGGAAAAAAAAACTTTAATTATAGCAGAAGATCTATATATACCAGTTAAAATCTCCATCATTATCAGCATTTTAAATGCAACAGTAAAAGTTCATAGCATATTAACAAAAGTAATTAAACAAATGTAGTAGGTTAGATTTCTTGAACTAAATACCTTTTAATGAAAGCTTTGAAAGCTATATTTTTTAGTTCATCATTAAATTTCGGTATTTTCAACCTGAAGTCAACCTTATGCGACACATTGGTCAAACACCCGGGACAGAAACCTAACCACCCCTAATTTAAAACTCAGTAGCACAGCGATATATCTGCGGACTTACAACGCTAGAAACTGGGTTTCGATACTCGTGGTGGGCAGAGCACAGATAGCCCAATCTGTAGCTTTGTGCTTAATTACAAACAAATAAACAAATTTAAAACTACGAATCAGGAGAAGGTCAACCAATCAGCAGCACGGAATTGGCTCTCAGGGTTGTAGCGACTGTACAACCGAAAGTGAGGCATGTCCTCAGCAGAAAATTGTAACTTGTGCCTTGAACGTTCCGATCCGTAGCCCAGCACAGCTGATAAAGTTTGGAGACGGCTTGAATGGGTAATGACGAAAACTTTGTTACAACTTTAACATAGTCACAAATGTACAAGGTTTTGTCATAATTCGGGTAAAAGAAACGTTGTATATTAGTTACTGTGTCAAACTTGTAATAACATTTTCTTCTTTACCCTTCCGAGCCGCCTTTAATATTTCAAATTGTATTACTCGTCATGATTTGTTTGTTTGTTTGTAATTAAGCACCAAGCTACACAATGGTCTGTCTGTGCTCTGCCCACCACGGGTACCAAAACCCGGATTCAAGCGTTGTAGGTCCGCAGACATGCCGCTGTGCCACTGGGAGGCTACTCGTCATGAAATTTGATTTGTACGCACAACTCAGCATATTATTAAATATAGTGATGTTATACCTAGTAAGGCCTCGTATAATTCAAGATTCCAAACGCACTTACTTTAGTATTTTTCCATCAAATTTTATCTTAAAATCTAAACACTTAGAAGCAGTGAAAGGTTTTGTTTGAAATGTTTATAAATTTCGAAACAAATAAAATGTTTTTATATTAGGTTGTTGAGAAATTAATGTCGCGTTTTGGAACACTTGCATTAACCATCCCCCCAAAAAACGTACATCATGAACTGCCTAAATGTCACGTTAGTGCAGTTTATATAATGTGTAAAGTTTAGTATACTCGAATCCCTTATAGTGATGGCACACGACGAGACACACATTCGGCGCGTAATGCTGTTCGAATACAAGAAGGGAAACAATGGCTTTGTAGCCACAAAGAATATCAAAAAAGTTTATGGAAATGTTTTGAACGTTCGTAAGTGTCAACGATGGTTCAACAAATTTCGTTCAGGTGATTTTAGCCTTAAAAATTGTGATGGCAGGAGCCGACATGTTGGAATTGATATTGATGCTCTGAAGACGTTTGTTGAGTCTAACCCAAGGCAATACACTCGTGAAATGGCCCTGAAATTGCATGTCTCTCGTGAAACAACGTGTAAACATCTAAGGAATATGGGAAAACTCCATAAAGAAGGTGTTTGGGTGCCTCGCGAACTCTCTGATGATCATCGTTTCTAACTTGTGATCATTGCTTCGTCTCTTCTGGCACGTAATGCACATGAACCATTTTTGGACAGAATTGTCA